ACCCCAATCGTATGGCCGGTGACCCCTCAAATGGCAATTCTAGATCCTTGCATTTACCCTACCGCGTTTCATGTCGGTGAGTGGCTGTTGGGGAGCCTGCAGCCGAGGCTCTTATCATCGTCTGTGATACAGTAAAGCTACGACTACTTGCTCACCTTAACAAAACAGTGTCACGGGTAGCCCATCAGACTTAATTTAAGATATAACTCTATTCACATATTAAATTCGTTACTCATAGGTGCCAAGGCACTCTCCATTCCGCACCCTTGCACTGCCCACGGGTCTTCACCCAGTCCTCAATCCCCCGAACGAACCAGCCGCTCATCCAATTCTCCTGGGGTTCCGCCTTGGGCCCTCCGAGCTTGAAGGTCCGGCTTACACAGCACGCGCCCCTGTTGTACCGCCACTGGAAGCACGTCCGGTTCCCGTGGAAGCCCGCGTCCCCCTGCCGCTCGTCGTAGAGGGTGCGGAGGAGCTCCCCGCGCATCCTCTCCGAGTTGAGGGAGTTGTACTCGTCCTCTGGGACGTCGAGGCCCTGGGACTCGCAGATGTTGGCGCAGGCGGCGGGGGACATGTGGGCGCGCCTCTCGACGACCGTCTTCTCCTCCTCGGGCTTCTGGCGGCTCCTGTCCTTCTGGCTGGCGCGGGCCTGGCTCTTGTCGTCGGGGCCGATGAAGCAGAGGTCATCGGACATGTTGTCCCAGTCCTGCCTGGTTGGGGCGAGGTGTGGCTCAACAAACTCATGGAATGTATCCTTTATTAGGAGATTGCTCTGCGAGTTTCCATGTTAGTGTCTCGATATTCAGATAGTAGTATGAGGCTAGGTCATCAAACTTACAGCCATCTCCCGCCTCTGCTCGAACTGCCACATCCGGCTAACCTCCTCTGGGCTCATGTGGTGCATAGTCAAGAGAGGCTCGCACCAGTGCCCCAGTCCGTAGGGGAACGTGCTGGGCTTCTCGCCGTTGAACATGGGGTGGGCCTGCTTCATCCGGGTGCCAACCTCCTCGGCCGCCAGGGCGACGAGGTAGTCCCCGCAGCAGTTCTTAGGCGCCTGCTCGTCGTACTTGGCCGCCAGGTCCGGGTTGCCCTCGACCATCTTCCTAATGAGCTGGCCGGACATGACGTACCCACTCCCGCCATGAGCGAACGCCTTGCCCCCGGCCATGGCGGCGCTGCCCACGTACACGTCGCCCTCGGGAGCCCGCTCCCGGAGCCAGTGGACGAGGTTGGGCCAGACGATGTAGGTATCAGCCTCGGCGAAGACATACCAGTCCATGTTCGGTTTATGCTCCCAGGCGCGCTCGACCATGTTGAGGAACTTGTACTTGTCCAGGTCCCACGCGCCCTCGAGGCCCAGGGTGCACTGCTGCTGCGAGACGTGGCAGTTGCGCTGGGCGTCGTAGAGCTTGAACTCCTTGTGTGTCTTTCGAATTGTCTCGTCGACACGGTCAAGGACGTCATGCAGCTTGTGTTCGCCAATTTGTTGATTCTATGACAGAGGTTCGTCTCGCGTTAGCATAAATAAAGCTCATCATACACAAGATGTGATCAGTTTTAAGGGGTAGTGGAAACCAACATACCAGATCAGAGAAGAGTAAGACGTTAGGGATACACTGCAAGCTTGTAAGAAGCTGGGTCGGGATTTTAGAGTAAGACTCAGTGGCGCCGGTCTTCATCACCACCACAATGCCTTCAGTGTCAGGGAAATCCTTGCACTGAGATGACACCACAGGTGCAGAATGCTCCCGTGCGGGACGAGGAGGAGGCCGGATAACATCCTGTTGCAGTGCCGGAGGGCCGGATGTCTTCTCAGTAACGGGGGCCTCTGTGGTGCTCGAGACGGCACCGGCAGCAACCGCTCCCTGATGCCAGTAGTCATCCTCCTCAAAGTAATCACTAAGATGATCGTAGAAGCCTGTATAGCTAGGCGAGCGGCCCAAGTGCCAAAAGGGCATGATGACGAAGAAAGTGAGCGCCACCAGCAGCGGTACTCTCCAACTGCGCTGGGTCAACATCATGTCGTCACCTTACCATTCCCTTGCTAAACTTCAGATTGGAAGTAGCTGAGATGGCTGTCTGCTCAGGAGCAGATCGGTTGATATTGGCCTTTGTTGAAAGGAAAGGAAAGGATATTGCCCAAAACGAGCAGTGAAGGAGCGAAGGAGTGAAGGAGTGAAGGAGTGAGTGAGTGGTATATAGACGGTTGCGTTTCAAGCAATGTCGCCTGCCCACGTATTAAGAAAACTCATAAGCCAAAGATGGGATTCGAAGAATATCTCAGAAATGATTAAAGAAGAAATAGTTATAGGTTCCAGGGGAAAGGTTGCATGGAATGGAGGGTGAGGACCCGGATCTGGGGGGGCGGGAGGAAAACATGTCCGTGTTGGTGGGGGAAGAGTGAGAAAACTGCATGTCGATCAGCAAACGGCCTGCCGACGTTACTCGGCCACTCTCATCCCTCGTACAGAGTGAGGGCCAGGAATTGTGGATGCATATTTGGAAAGTCAATGGTTTCGAACCAGCGTCTACGTGTGGCACCACAATTTTCAGCGCTCAGGACTGCAGATCACACAGGGGATGGGAGGGAGGTCCGAGATAGCTCGAGGAGAGAGATACAGACACAAGCCGGCAAAGAGGTAAACAGCACGTGGTGGGTCGCCGAGGTTAAGATTAGGGAATTGTTTGTTCAAGGGGTTTGGAGAGGCGATCGACGAGCAGCTGCTGGACAGACGGTGAGAGGCGAGGAAGGATAGCTCACTGGCTGTGCTACGTTATCCGGGCGAATGATATCGGTCCCTGAGCGAGTTCTCACATTGAGACCCCTGGCTGGGGTTGAGGGCAATGTCCATCCATTCCGAGCAGTTCCCTCGGAGAATGGATATGCACTTTTGATTTTGTCGGTGGCAGGGTCCTGCAGTTGAATTTAAGTTGGATCCCTCCCAATAAGCAGATTCGAGCCTTGGCGAACACCCAATATCGAACCTCATAATCAGAGAGGGTCTTGAAATACTCTAATAATAAACATTGAAGGCGGCCACCTGCAGCGCGTCTCCAGCTCGCTCATAGTAAACAGGCAGAAGCATCAAGCGTCCCATACATTTTCAGCTGCATTTTCCCCTCTCGTGGAGCACGTTCTGGACATGTTGCGTCATAGTAGGACCCCCAAACCCTCATTTTGAACGCGTGTTTCAGACTCGAAACACCAAGCCGTGACTAGGATAAGATCGACAACCCTCAGGGATCAGCGGTTCGCGAGTGACGTCGACAACGGATCAGGAAGAGGAATCTGGGATACTGATACGGCGCTTGGATAATATCACGGCCCCGCCCTAATTAATTGCTTGCAAAGATCGTCCCAAATCGCACAATATTTTGCCCAGTCACGTTAGATATATCTATGGGTTCCCTCTTGATAGGCGCTCACTACGCCAAGAAATTCTCACCTATAGACATTATGTATACCTTCATACCAATGCGCTGACTACCATTGCACTGGCCACCACTTTTCTGCCACAAGGGCAGTTTCAACCCCGTCATAACGTCGCTCAGCATGAACACGTTTTATGTCACTATGCTACATGTACTGTCAGGCATGCACGATGACTCTCTACCCTGAAGCGACTGACATGGGCTTCGTGGGCGCTTAAGAGGATTGCGTAGACAGGTTGTTGTGAGGTCCAAGATTGAGGCAGGAGAAATCTTGCTGCGATCATCGGTTGGCCAAAGCGAGCTTTACAAGGCTAAGAGGAAGAGCCTTGGCCTAATTCGATAATCACCTATCAGCTGCTGATATGATCCACAAACACACGAAATCATCGAGTGCTGTAGATAAGGACACTGGCAGCTAATTGCTATGTACCTCTTAAGTATGGATAGCAGTATTCATGCCAAATATTTGACCACAATCATAGCGACGACTTTCTCAAGGCGCATACAGGATGCCAACCCTTGAGACGATGTAGCCCGCTGTCGTAAGAGGACCGATACTTGTGACCACCAATCTCACAGGTTCCTGTGCAACTCTTATACGTGCTACCAGTATTCTGTCCAACTTCACACAAATGATTCTTAACTCGAACCATATTCCTCGGTAGAACCGAATGTCCTTATGCGGACCACATATGATAATTGATACGGCATACACGCCCGTGCTGTGGCGTGAAGTAGAGCAACCCAAGGTGTAGGGTAGGTTATCCAGCTACCTAGGAGGGGTGAATGAATCAGGCTTGACTAGTAGCTGAGGCTAGGTTAACTAGTACACTCGAGGATCTCTGACTGTTTCTATCATGAGTTTGCCATGCTTGTAGCGGATCATGCAACGCGATAGGTCGCTGCTTGAAATTTGTGACGTTCAAATTTTGCGGGGCCAACATTGCTCAAACCTACGAGGTAGCTTTCTCGGATGCCCGCCCGGTATACACTATCAGGACGCACTGATAGCGCGCATAGCAGCGATTGATGTAGGTTAATTGGTCTGAAGCCCTGCGAAAGGTACATATGCTATAGGTACAATGATGCGCATGGCATAGGTAGGCATACATCGGTAGGTTAGTAGGTCGTAATTGGGTGTCGGGATACGGGTTACATTCGGGACGTGACGATGACGGAGATGGGCTGCGGTTTCTGAAAATTCGCAAGTTGCAGGCCAGGCCTTCAATTGGATGTGACTCCCAACAAAACCATGCATGGAGCGCTGTCGCTTGAGTAATTGCTTTTTTCCTTGCCACGCCTGCGGGTTTCAGTTGGGGGCTACACAACATTGAAGGAAGCATTCTGGCGTTAGTCATAATGGGTGAGTCCTAGATGCACCGATGCCGGTGCCCCAAAATTTTAATCTTTTCTTACCGCCCTTATCAAGTACCTATCAAGAACCCTCCTCGTCCCGCCTCCGTCAAAGCTAACTCATCCAAACCACCTCGTCAACCTCATCGTACACCCATCTCAAATCACGTCTTTCGTACTCCGTTCTAGAATTTTTCTAGCCCCATACCTTCAACATGTCAAAGGGTCGTGTTTGTCTGTGAGTCTTACCCCACCAAACACACCACACACACGTGCACACGCACAACTTGCCTCGTCTGGGTCATTCCTGCTAACATTCCCACCTCAGCGCCTACTCCGGAGGTAATTAAGCCTAGCACAGCTCAATTCTTGACCTGCGGTTAGCTAACGGTCAGTGAACCAGGCTTGGACACTAGCACCATCTTGAAGTATCTTTGTCTTGAAGGATACACCGTTGTTGCCTGCGCCATCGACGTCGGTACGTCTTCACTTCCTTCCCATACATTGTGCCGCTTTGATGCTAACTTCTACTAGGACAAGAGGAGAACTGGGATGAAGTCAAGGAGAAAGCACTCGCCGTAGGCGCGGAGAGGATGATTGTCCGAGACTGCCAAAAGGAATTCGTAGAGGAGATCGTTTGGCGTGCCGTCCAGTGCAACGCCATCTATGTGTGTAACCCAGGGTTCCAAGGCCTACTTCCTCAATACCAATCGGACGAATATTGGGAGTTCATCCTTCCTTGCTGACCAATTCTATAGGAGGACCGATACCTTCTTGGAACGAGTCTGGCTCGTCCTGTATTGGCTCGCGAGTACGTGAATTTTTCTTGAATTTTCTTTCCATGGCTTTTGGCAAGATTCCATCCCCCGAAAGGTCGACAAAGATCTTTTGGTGATACTGAGGGTGGTGGAGATGTTGGGGGTGAATCCCCAGCCTCTTTTGGCCAGCGCCTAGGCTTTGGGTTGTCGAACCCCTTCAGTCTGCCCTCCACGTCCCAGCAACAGACGGAGATTGTACCCTCCCGAGATGCCTAAAGGCCTTGTGGTTAAAAAAAGGGTCTTGAGGACTGAGTAACTGTTACTGACCTCGCCCTTTGTAGGCTGGTTAAAGTCGCCAAGGAGTTCAACTGCGAATATCTGAGCCACGGATGCACTGGTAAGCAATTTAAACAGCCTTCGTTTGTATCCTGACTAACACGATGGAAAATAGGCAAGGGAAATGACCAAGTCCGATTGTATGTCCCAGATCGCAGTAACATGAAGAAATATGGCTAACATACGACAATAGTGAGCTTGCCTGGCATGGTATGAGTGCTACTTGAACCCCCTGAAGCCCACTGACTCGAATTCTACCCCGCGATCACATTTAGCTAACTTTTGGAAGCGCTGGCACCTGGCATCAAGATCATCGCCCCTTGGAGGGACTCCGCTTTTATCGCCAAGTTCCAGGGCCGCGCAGATCTCCTCGAGTACGCCAGGGTCAACAACATCCCTGTTTCATCCACCCCCAAGGCTCCTTGGAGCATGGATGAGAACCTCGTACATTGTTCATACGAGGCTGGCATACGCAAGTTCTACCTTCCAACGATTGATTCGCTGTTGAATTATTACTCATTCGTTGTTAATAGTGGAGGACCCCAACGCAGCACCTCCCAAGAACATGTGGAAGATGACCGTTGACCCCCTCGATGCACCTGACAAGCCATACCACTTCTCTATTGACTTTGAGAAGGGTATCCCTGTCAAGGTTACAACCGAGGATGGCAAGGTGGCAACTGAGTCTGTTGAGTTGTACAAGTTGCTAAACAAAATTGGCCATGACAATGGTAAGAAACATCTCCACTTTCCTACAACTCCCAATGCAATGCTAATTGTTTAAAAGCGATTGGTCGGGTCGACATAGTTGAGAATAGATTCATAGGCGAGTTTTCCCCAAGAAATTGAGGATTGGGTTGCCGGAGAGTGCTGTCGCCATCGTTCATTCAGATCGATGAAAATGGTGTTGCACCTCCGGGCCGGCCTTTCCCCACTTGCCGAGACCGAAGTGCAGTCTACTGACAGGGAATTATAGGCCTAAAGAGTCGAGGATGCTATGACACACCCGCCGGCACAATCCTACGCCTGGCTCATAGTAAGAAATTTGCATCAGCTGATATGGGAGTATGTTGACTAACAACTCCCAGTCGATCTTGAAGGTCTCACTCTTGACTCCAAGGTTCGCGAGCTCCGTGACACATTCGTCACTACAGCATGGAGTCGCCAACTTTACAATGGCATGTATTTGTGAGTACCACCTCCTGGATTTTGAAAATTGTGCCTTACTGATGACTGAATAGCTCTCCCGAGCGTGAATTCACCGAGAAATCCGTCATTGCTGCCCAAGATGGAGTTAACGGCACCGTCAAGTTGATGGCCTACAGTAAGTCTTGCCGCAACCCTCTCTCCTCTTTTGGATAGATGGGTATGAGCGATGGAACAGCACTGACTTGAATACTACAGAGGGCAACGCCTACACTGTCGGCCGCAGCAGCGAGACCAGCAACCTCTACAGCGAGGAAGACGCCTCGATGGACTCGCTGGACACCTTCAGCCCACTGTATGGCCTCCGAATCACCTCTTTCCCACTGTTTGACTGCAATTCACTGACCCCCTCATAGGGACACGACCGGATTCATCGCTATCCAGGCCATCCGACTGAAGAAGTACGGCGAGGCCAAGATTGCTTCCGGCAACTCCCTCATTTAATGACAAAAATGAACTATGTTTGTTGGAGATAGACAGACATTGAGAGTAAGATAAGAAAAGAAAAGATTAGGTTTAGTTCTCGAGAAGTAGATCTATGTCTCTGTACTTTGGGTCTACACAAATAAATGAAAGTAAAAACACACTGTTCAAATATAGGTAAATTTGAAATGCAATACTTTCAACCAAGGTAATTAATAAACACGGCGGCAAGCACGGAAATGGTGCAATCCCGGGGCTATTTGACGTACGTCAACGCCAAGTGCTGCGCGCCATAATCAGGTCCCACCAACTCCTCCACGTTGCTACGTCCGCCTTCCTAAATGACCACGAGCGAGCGAGCCCTGTCGGCTTCCGAGGCTTGTGTGTTCCTTGTGCCCTACTCTCGGCACTTGCTCGTGCTCCAAAACCCCGCCGCCATGGCAAAAGGACTGGGTGTTGAGGGGACCCCTAGAAAAAGTCAAGTTCGATCCCCAGATCCTAGACGACTTCTCTCTTAATCTACGAGTGATGACTCAACGACCTGTTTCGGTTCGGGTTGCGGCCCACCACGGCGCATTGTTGTGCCCTTGATTCTTATCACGTTCCGAAGAACAAATCGCGCGGCAGGACCCTTTAGCGCGCACGTTGAGCCGATTCATGAGTAATGGGAATCCGCAAACCTCCTAGCGTTTCCCTCGAGATCGGCTTCGCCCCTTGCACGATAGCCTACTAAAAGGAGGTGATCCCTTATCGGCGGAATTTGATGCCCCTTGCGCAGGTTTATCAATCTATGATGCCTACTCTCCTAGACGACTTACAGACTCTTCTCACTCTTAAACCCTCGAGTTTGCCCTGCCGTTAACCTGAGAGCGTTTTCTCTCCTTCTCTCTCTGCGATATACCCACTCACCTGTCCGTCACGTCTACGCGGCCCCTCTCAGACCTAATCTCGAGAGACCCCGCCCTGCTGGCTCAGGGTCCTGATAGATATCAAAGTCCTGTTTCACAACAGACCCGGTGTGGTTGGCCCTGATAGAACCCTCCATACCAGTTGGACCCCAATGGTCTCAGCATATCCCACCCTGACGTACGGAATTCGGGTGGCCCAGGGTCTCTGCTACCCTGTCTTGGTCCATGACTATGGCGGACCATCGTCCATGTGAACACCAGCCCGTTCAGACCAGCGCCGTGCTTGTTCTGAATGCCACAAAGCGGCCCCTCATCCCTCCACCCTCTCCACCCACGCCCTCTCTACTGTCACCACCGGATAGCGTCTGCGAGACACCGGAAGCACTTGATCTGAACACATCTGGGAACTTAATTAACAAGAATGACGAAGTTGAGAGCAAGTGGCTCAGCGATGGTTTGCATGTCTTGCAAACCGAGGCTGCGGCTCTCAACAGCTTGGCAACCCTATACCAGACCGACCCGACAGCCCGGCGCGGCTTTACCACCGCCGTCGACGCCATTACGAGGCACAGGAGGCACGGCGGGAGACTCATTATAGCCGGGGTGGGCAAGTCGGGCCACATCGGCAAGAAGCTTGTCGCTACCTTCCAGAGCCTCGCCATCCCAGCCGTGTTCCTGCATCCCACCGAGGCCCTGCACGGCGACCTGGGTCTCCTGGGTCCCCACGACGTCGTCATGCTCATCACCTTCTCCGGGAAGACGTCTGAGCTCCTGCAGCTGCTCCCCCACCTGGACGAGGCCCTGCCCCTCGTCGTCCTCACGGCGCACACGCGTCAGGAGACGTGTGCCATCTTGACGCACCGCCCCGACGGGATCCTCCTCCCGGCGACCATCCCTGAGCCGGAGACGACCTCGTTCGGCGTCGCAGCCCCGACCACGTCCACCACCGCTGCGTTGGCGGTCGGGGACGCCCTCGCGATCGCAGCCGCTAATGAGCTCCATCCTAGCGTGTCGTCAGTGTTCGCGAAGAACCACCCCGGTGGATCGATTGGTGCCGCGTTCCGGCGACGCGCTCCCCAAACCATCAGGGACCTAGCGGTGCCGTGGGACAGGATGCCCGTGGTCGGCGACGACGCGCTGGGCGTGGACCTGCTGCGGGCTGGCTTCGGGGCCGCAGTTGGGTGGGTGCGAGTGGGCGAGGGAAGCGTCGTGTCGGCAGGCAGGATACGCACGCTGGGCAACGAGCAGCTCTCGAAGGTAGCCCGGCTCGTCCCTGGGCTCGTCGTCGGGAGGGCGGGCATGATTTCCATGGCGTCGGGGACTCGAGTCGACCAGGCAGAGGTTCAGCTCCGAAACATGTGGGTCTCGAGCACCTGCGCTCCAGACTCGGTGGTTGCTGTCGTCGACGAGGGGAGCATCGTTGGCGTGCTGGAAGCGACTGTGGTTCTGCGAGAGATGAAAGCCTGAAAGGAGGGGGGCCACCGCTCGGTTTTATGGTAATTGACCAATCTCAGGCCCAAACGGGCGCACGTGGGCTCGCATCGGTCCAGACACTAGATGTAAACGCATTCCACCCGTCCCTGTAGAGGGAGCATACATATGTACAAGCGTGCCACTCACCCACCAAGGTGGACCTGCGGGGAGGGTCGAATTGGCATCCGTTCCATGTCCGTTGGTATCTTTGACACATTATTTGCCCATTCGTACATGTATCATGCAAGAGCATGGGAGGGGTAGAGCCAAGTGCATTGAGACGGGAAAAGCTTTTCGACAGGGCCGGTTGGAGCGGAAATGGCAGGCTGCAGGATGATCAGAATAGGGCAGTTTTAACGGCCGGAACAGCTGGATGTAAATATAGACCAACATCACACACACACAATGACTGCATGTCGATAACCTGGCTCGTATCGTTGTCACATCGGTGAGAGACGTGCGCGCGCAAAGTCTATGCTGCAGCCAATCCATCTCTGTGATATATGCAACGGCCTTGTCGTATTCGCCCCTGTTTGCAGCAGAGAGCGCCAGTCAGACGCATCACATGTCGACATAGGGCGGTGTATGGGGCGCACATATTGTTCATCGGGAGCAAAGGGCCTTTTGTCATTGGCGGAGATAGCAACCCTGTATTAATTCAAGGACAGCGTGGGATAACATCCTGGCCAAGAGTTTGTTGTGCCAATGGAGATGCATGGAAGCAGTTCACGATGCGAGGGTAGCCAACCTGACGCCGATACGGCATCCGTGGGTGGGTGTGATGCAGCACGCAGCCCTCACCAATCCCGATGACGATAAATCAGGAGCAATTGGCACAAATCGGTACTGGGACCAGGATCCGTGCGTAGTGCGGGAGGGAGAGGCAGCCGCAGAGGGTGGGGAGGAAACTAGTGTAGTTGGTAAGATTTGGTGGGACAGCTAGTGAAGGAGGTGATGGGAAGTTGGCCGAGATGCAAGTTTGCGAGAACGCTCGGGCATTGATGGCGCTGGGAGTGATGATTGTTGGTTGCAGCGGTCGAGCCTTCTCGCGTGACCACTTGCTTCTTCTGAATGGCGGTGGATCTCGCCGTATTTAGATGAGGCTGATCCTGGCTCCCTTCAACTGCAGCTGCGACCACCGTGCATCTGTAGCAGAGATGGGCTGCCACAGGGGTCCTGGCTTTTTTTGCAGGTCGCAGCCCAATGTCTCACCTAAACCCCAAGCGAAATGGCGACTGGGGCAGAGGCATTCTGTGTGCTCGCCAGTGCCTCTGGAGGCTGGCTAGTGAGCTGGGTCCGCTGGCCGTGTTTCCAGATGGCAAGGGATGTCGACATGTCGGCTGCATATGCATACATAAGCACAAGGCCTGTTCATGTCGTTGGGGCTGATTGATGCACGGTCGCGGGCGATATGCGGGCACCACTAGCCGCATGCTGGAGACGGCCCACGGTTGCACAGCATGCGCCTGAGGGTGTGGTCGCATGTGCCCTCCTACTCGTTTGGGACGAGGATGTGAATGATAGCAAAGACTTCTCGGTATGTGTGTGGAGCGCTATCGGCGAAGCGACGGGACGTCAGGCCCTGGATGGAATTCGTTTGATGGTGGCATTCCAGAGCTCGTGCTTTCTGGCTGGTGTGAGGAGAGTCATGTAGCACGTTGCTGGGGACTACCAGGCGAATCTGCCCCTATCCCATGGTGATTCCTTATTAAATGGTAATTCCCATAGGAGAAGTCCATTTGGGAGCTGCTGGTACGCCAGGTCAGTCAATGGCCAACCTGCGGCAAACGTTGGGGACAGACAAAAAAAACCTTGGTGTTTGCGACCAGGTCCAATTGGATCTCCTCGTGAACTGTGCCCTGTTCTCGAGATCAGCTGGGGTGCTAGACAGGGAGTTCTGTTTGAGCCAACCATCGTCTCTATTCTCTTCTTTGAGGTTCGGTTCCTTTGTGTCTTCGTCTGCCCTGCAGGACAGGGTAAATCGTTCGACATCTGAGCCCGAACGAACGACATACAACCTTCCTATATGCATATCTCAGCTGCCGTCATGGTTGCGACAACCAAGTTCTGACCGGTCCGAGGACCTGACCAGGGTCTCTGTTGGCTGGCGCGCATATCGATTGGATCCTTCGTTGGACTCCTGCCACTCGTTCATTTATCCGTCCATTCATTCATTCATTCATTCATTCATTCATTCACTCGCCCATTTTCTCACCCCTCACTCATTCTTTTGGCTTCACGGAGCCTGACAGCGTTCCGCCCGTACGTCCTCCTCTACCCTGGCGTCTTATCTGCGCAAGGTTTAATCCGGCATCAACACCATCCCCCGTCTGTCGTGGTGACCCTGCTAACCCCGCCCAGCCATCTCAGCGACCCTCTTTTCATGCTGCTTCCTGGCTCAAGCTAGAGAACCTTACACCCGGGTCCTTGTAAGTCGCAGCTCCAGCAGCTCCAGCAGTATAGTAGTGCCATGTCACTGGCTGTACGGCTGACAGCGGACCCCCGGTGAAGCAAGCTAACTGTTTGATGCTGTTGTAACAGGCCTGCACCTGCAATCCTTCCGCTGCTCGTATGCACTGGAACTGACCCGCGGCGACTTGTTGGAGCAACTCCATTTCCACTGCACCGATCCCCTCTCTTATCGGCAGTCTTTTCCTTTTGTCATTGCTGTTTTTGTCCCTGTCTGTCTTGATCTTTTGCTCGATAATTAATGGGCCAGTCCACCGCGACCCGAGGCTAGTCCGTCTCTCCCGATCTACTGTTTCCACCTCGCTTGCTCAAATCGATCTATGCACCATCCATGTCCGGCCAACTTTCATGACGGTCCTTGTCAGTCATCGCCCTACTGCCCGCGAGTTCGACGCTAGCGGAAACGTGCAAAAGGTGGTCTACCTAGTGGTCCAGACATCAAGACCACTTTTTTTTTTCTTGCCTGCTCTGTGGAAACAGGACGGCATTGGCAACCAGCCGACTCCAATTTTTTCCTATTTTTCCAATTCTTGGTCATCGGCATTATTACGTTTACTTCGTCAACCAGCAGTTTACCTTGGCTGCTGCTGTGGGAACCTGGTTAGAAAAATCACTTCGGGCAGTCCTCGGTTTTTGCATAGCTTCATCCATTTTCCCGGGTTAGCTTGCCCCCATTAAGAGACGGCCTCTTGGCTCCCGTCCTCACACTCACTTGCTTTTCCTTCTTTCTCTCTCTGTTTCCTTACCTGTTCTGCGATTCTTGTTTGTCTTTTTACTTCTAAGCCACTGTTTCCTTGCCATTGGCTTCTCTTCCTTGGCGTAGTGGGTGATCAAGACACAAACCACCAGCTTCCCCAGCTTTCCATTCCAACTCCGATTCTCGGATTGAGGCGCTAGCAACTTCACTTATCTCCCCCAACCAGGGCCTTCCCTGATCAGAGAAGAGTACCACCTGCCATTGGCACCTTGTTGTGCAACCGCGCTCAGGATTCGGCTGGGCTGGACATACATACCCACGGTAACACGGACGGTGCAGGGTCCCCCAAGCAAAGACAAGCTCAGGATCCAACCACCCAGTCGATGCCTCGAGCTAGCTTCGAGGGCCTACATACATAATCCAACACCGCCTCCTCCAGAGCTAGTGTACACCAGGTGCCAGAGTCTAGCCTGCTAGCCGTGCACCTCGTGCCAGTGCTGTGTCCGTTCTGTCTCTTATCCTGCCCAAGTCGATCCTTATCTGCGATTGGCCCCTCCCACCTTCCCTGGCCGCCACCCCCAGTCCGGACGTGCAGCAGGAAACCAACGTCATTTGGAGGCCCCCAACCATCTCCAGTCTCCAATAATCGAACCCAAACCGTCAACCTTGTCCACCACCGCTGCCGATTTGCTTCTGATCACACCTCGCCATCCCTCTGCATCTATTATCCTTATAATTGTCGCCACAGCTCCAGGAATCGCACACGGAGCACTTCTCCCGCTGACCGACCAGATCGCCCCCCCAGGCCTGCAGGGGTTGTCGCCTGAGTCTGTTTACACCCAGGAAAAAGCAAATCAATTCCCCAACGGCGCCGGTCCAATCTCTTCAATTGGCTCGGTCGCGCGCGTGTCCAGTCTGCCAGCATGAAGTTCGGCGAGCAATTGGAGCAACAGTCTGTTCCTCAATGGAGTCTTCGTGAGTTTTCCCTAGCCAGTGCTTGTTCCTTGTCCCGCCTCGGAACTCAATTGCTCCCAATGCCTCCGCTGCCTGAGTCAATGTCTAACCATGGCGCATTTGCCTCCTCGCAGACAACCTCGACTATAATTCATTAAAGCATGAGATCAAGGCACACACGACCCGCGATCAAGCAACGGCGATAGCCATCCCCGGCCACCAGGATTCAGCCCTTTCGAAATTCGAGGATGGACTTTTTCACGAGCTCTGTCGCCAGCACGACCGTGTCGATCTCTTCGTCTCTAGTAAAGCCGATGAGGTCAGCCGCCGTCTAGGTAAGCCACCTCGACGCCTCCCAAGCTCAGTTGCGCAAGGGTCAGCAACACTAACACAACGTTTTGTCAATAGATCATCTCTCTGGTGCCATCCAACGCCTGATTCGGAAACACTCCGATGATTCCGCTCCGACAGATTCTATCAAATATCACCGACGGCTTATCAAATACGAAAGAGAGCTCTATCAATGCGGCGACGACATCCACGCTCTGTCGCGGTTTGGCAACGCACAGATTGTGGCCTTCCGCAAGATTATCAAGAAGTACAAGGTATGTTGTTCTCGTGCCCCAATCATGGCTCACCTATATGTCTGCAACAAGAGCGTTGCCGGCTAACGGGATTGCTTTGATTAGAAATGGACCGGCTCTACCACATTGGGCGCTCGGTTCAATGAAACTATTCTGAACCACCCCAAGAGCTTCACCCGCCGCGACAACACACCTCTTCGCTTCAAATGCCAGGAAATCTTGAGCACTCTTCAACGCGCCTACCCCAACCTGGACGAATTCAGCTCCCCTTCGACCATCGGAGACCCTCAATCAAGACGTGGCAGTGCCGCCGCTCAACAATCTCAGCCTCAGTTTGAGCCCTTACCACCCCCCCAAATACCCGAAGAACCTACCCAAAGCCCAACTGTACGGTATTGGAACGAGTACGACGACGGAAGTGAAGCTGGAACCCCTGACGATGAATACGCCATTTATATCAACCCATACGAGTCTACTTCGTTCCCTGGCCTCGACTATTTACAAGCTGCCCTCTCGCTCCCCTTCGAAAAAGCTAAGCAACTATTCCACCTGGGGAAAACCCACGAGCGGTCGCCCCTTCTCTCGGACTCTCGACCCACAACCCGCGGTTATGGGTCCACGAGTACAGACTCCGAAGAGGACGGCTACGCAAGCTCATCCGACTTTCCAACCCAAGGTTATGCTGCCTACTATGCTTTCCCTAGCATCGGCGAGCAAAAGAATGTGCGCTATCGCAGCAACTTTCTCTTCTGGGGTACCGTCAGCTGCTTCCTAGCTTCGTTCCTTCTTCTCGCGATCTCGGGCGTCCTCGTCATGACGGGGAGGCACAAGCTTCGGGTCGAGGTCGACGCTGCTGCGGCAGTCGGCGTCGTCATGAGCCTATTCTTCGCCTGCGCGGCCGTGGCAATGTCCTTGTACCGGAGGGATCCATTACCAATATCGCATCGGCTAATAGTGGGCAGCTGTTTCACCGCGTCGTGTATCCTCAACGGAATGCTACTAGTAATAGTTGCAAGCAATACGCCATGATGACTGCCTATCCATATCATGTTATCAATCACTCCATGTCTGCTGTTGGTCTTACATTATGGAGGGATTTTCTGGAACACCTGGAAAGAAACTTTCGGGCTCCTTCATCCTCGCCACGCGCTGTGTCATATCTTTGGCAACTTGCAACCCAAATTGTTACGAGCGTGGGATTGATACTGCTCTTATCTTGGGCAGTTCCGCAAAGCCCCCCCCCCCCCGTCCGCCTTATTTTGATTATTGGAGGGGCATCTTCGAACTGATTGCTATGATCTATGCATCGATATCCTCACGAGTCATTCACACTGCCCCCTCTTATCTTCCCGAAACAGTGTTAGCATGTGCTCCCTCAAAATGTGGGTTGGTCTTCTGGGTATATTGGTTGGGGAAAAAATTGCAGTTTACAGGTTCAGCGTCTGAGAATTATTAGGTAGCGTTGTGCTTATTATGAGCTATGAGCCATCATTGTTTTATTTATCCAATCAGTGGTAACCCAAACCACATAGCGCAGGATGGAAATCACAAGTAAATTTCCAAGTATGAAATACATATGTCTTGCCCATATATCTGAGGAAGATCATTTTGTTCTGGCCGCAAATCTAGCCTTGTGAATCGCCTGGTATCAAGAGAAGAAAAATAGCAATCGGGCGTAGTCCCGAGCGTGCGCACACAACTCATATGAACGGACCTATACCTCGATAACGGTATCAGTACCATAAGAATGTGCTGCCAGCCCATCCACCCCCTCCATCATAAAGGGGATGGAGGCTAATGAGACTTGGCCCCTAGTTTATGTTGAGAGACGAGAAGGTGAAATCGAGCACCGCATTCTCGTTCTCGTCTTTGGTTGCAAGAAAAGATTCGATGCGTTTCACGAGTTGGCCTACAATCAAAATCGGGTTAGCATGATGCAAGTACGATATCGTTAGGGGGAGGACGAAAGGAACAGTAGCCCATCTGGGCACTTGAACCAAACCCCCCCAAATGTCATCATATCATTTAGGATGGATGAACTAACCAGCAACGCCCCACCTCTTGGCGAAGAAGTGTAATGAGCTGTAGATATCGTGGAACCTAGAGTCTGAATCCGGAATGACGTGCTCAAAGTTGCTCAGAGCAGCTAGACTATGATAGGCGGAAAAGGGAGTGACGGGTGAGCAGGTGGCAAGGAGGTCGGGGCGCTGCGCAAGGGATCGGTTGAGGTCGGTGATGGTATCCGCGATAATTCGTATGGTGAAGTTGACACCGGAAATGGCTTTCAGGACTTCGACGTTCGAGGATCCTGTGTTAATGTTGGAGGCGTCGATTGATTGAAGATAGCTACAGTATAGCAGAAGGAGTAAACTACAGAAAGGGCAAAGTGTAAGTATGATAAAACGAGAAGTCTTCCCTGGAGGCCGGAATGGGGATAGTCGTCTTACCAGGTGCAGGTTGCGAAGCACTCGAAATACTCTCCCCATGTGGGGGTCTGCAATAACATTGCCTCGATGAGGTTTCGAGTGGCTATATCGAGCTCTTCAAATGAGGTGACACTTGGCGGTCGGCCTGACCAATGTGTCTCCAGTTCCCAAGTTAGTGCCTTGGTGAGCAGAATAGCGCACTGGCAGTTACGTTGAAATGCTCCGAGTGTGACGCTCGCACAAATGTTGGCAGGATGGCGCTGCACAATCCGGACTGAGCTTTGCGTCTGGTTGTTCCACACAATGTTCGTCGTAGGCAGCAGATCGTCGTCGGCAGGGCACGACACATGGAAGGGTTTCCACATTAGGCGGCGCTCAACGCGCAAGAGTCTAAGCAGTCAGATTTAGGTTCATAGTACACAAATCATTTCTTCAAGAATAGAAGCGAAGAAGAAAACAACTCGAAAAAATGTGGCTTACCTGTCTACGATGAGAAGCGCCCAGTAGAGGTTCCATCTCTCCTCGTCCTCAGGTGATACAGGGAGATCTCTTTCCGCTTCGATGTATTTTATAGGTCGAATGTTGAGGAACTTTGCAGTGGTGTATGCATCACCCACAGTTACATAGGCCTTCATAAAATCTCCATGTCCAAACTCATAGAGACACAAAAGAGCGGCGCACTGGATCAACTCCATGCTTGGGGCGACTTGTGCCCGCAACATACTGAGCAGCCGTTTTGCGATAATATAGGTGGGTAGGACGAGCATCTCTGTGCCGTCAGGCATGACCTGGTTCCCGGCATCGGCATATGACGTTACGAGGTGCATGCAGACGATAAGAAGGGCAAGGCATGGATCCTCAGGCGAGTCGTTCTGGCCGAGGGTCTCGATCTTGCGGAGAAAACGATCCTGATGAATGGCCGAGAGCCATAAGTTGGTCGTCTGGAAGTAAAGATTTACCGAGTCGCGCCAAATAATGTTCTTCGAGGTCAGCAATCCCATTATCAAAGCGGGCGGTGTATCCAGCTCTGGTTCGAAGATGGGATTCCTTGAAACGGCATGGTCCTTAGGACTCAGCGAGGCTCCATATGCTGAAGGGTCTACAACTGTAGTAGTAGGTGCCGTGAAGACATAGTCGTAGCAGCAAGTCGCAGCTAGCCTGGGATCATTGTCAGCGGGAACTTGGATAAGTCTTCTATTCCGCTTGACAAGGGAGGGTATCCAGTATGTACCTCACGCATCGCGAACAAGATGGCAGGGCCTTGTCACACTTCTTCTTGGTCCGCGTGCATTTTTCACAGGCTCGGTGGGCTCGCTCCTGGTCTTCGTCCATTGGAGACTGGGACTCCCGTAAGGATGCTGTTTTAGGCTTCCTCACCATCTCTCAAAGTTTCTGGGATCAGTGACAACAGATTTGCCCTTGGAACAACCAACGGCAATTAAATAGTACGGCGAAAGCGCCCCATTTACAAAGCAGAGGGATGGTAAGAGGGGGCCTGTGTGATTCACAAATTTTTTCTCCAGTTGCTGGTTGCCCTGGGTATTGGAGAGCTTCCCTATGCAGATATGCGGGCCTTTTTGTCGGAGGACTTTTGCCTGGTTGTCTCACTGAGGGGTGCCAAAGGACTTCTGGTAACGGTTCTTCAATGGTCCAGGAGTTGTGTTGGGCTGATTAGATGTGTATCTTAGAATGTCTACCTATGTAGAGTCGAAAGTCGCCCAGGCCTTTGAGTAGGAAAAAACATGGTCAGCAGGTGAGTGGAGGGTGGGCGCCGCAACTAAGCCGCAAGCATGGAAGCTCCCTGGAAGGACGCGTGATGAGGAGAAGAAGTCTTTTGGGCTGGGTAAGGCGCGGGATGGCAACCGATGAATGGCGGTTGGCCTCCCTCTCATGCAAGGACAATGCTGGACGCCGTGGTCTGGCGGGGTTTGTGCCTTGTTGAGCCTCTTGCCTGGTCTCAAGCCAATGTGCAGCACACCAGCCAGGATTGGGGGAGCAGCGAGATGTGACGGGGCCAAGGGACGGCAGATGGAGGATGACGGGGGCAAAGGCGGTTAAAACAGATGGGAGACGGTTCGGAATGGGGGGAAAGCCAACGGCCAACGGCGAGAAAGGAGGCAAGAAGGGAAAAGTATAACGGAAAACGGCCACCAAAGGAAATCACGAAGTGCTCCTCCTGTTGCTCTCACCTTTAGTGCTAAATGCCGTAGAGTTAGCGCGATCTGTGGGCTCTTTTCCTCCAGTGTTAGGTTGATTAATTCTTTTCGAAATCGACGGATTGATTATTGGGCTATTTGAAACAAAGACGATGGTAGATCTCGGAGCAATTCGATTGATCAAGCTGAGGGAGAGGAGAACGAGGACTTTGAATCAATGCACGGAACGACTCGACGACTCGATCGACTTGGTCAGGCGAGGTCGAGCCGGTCACAAATCAGTTCAGGGGATAGATGCCGGACCGCTGTGCCACCAGCCAGTACATGCCTTGCCTGTATAGATACCCAAGGGCTGGCAGGGCTGGGCTTGGGGCACGCGGCATCCATGGAAGCTTGTCAATTAATCATCCTTGCTACTGGGAGCCGCAGGTACAGAGACAAAGAAAATGCCAACAAGGCTTAATTAAATGAGCCGAGACAACAGACCAACAACGATGCAATCGGCATTGTCGCAGGGTCCAGGGAGGGGTTGGCTGCAGACTCCAGCGGGGGCATGGCCTGTAGACTCCTTAGGCTTCAGAGCCGCGTATTAACTTGCCGACCTAACCACAGTACAGACTAAGCCAGCCAGGATCACCACCAAGCTGTGCGTAGTAGTCAACAGGTACATGCCTGCAGAGTACCTCACCTTATGATGCCAATGCGACCTAACTTAAGTCCGCATCGCACGCCGTAGACCGCAAACCCCGTGGTGGTGGTAGTCTTGGTGGGGGTTGTTTGGGGCAGAGTGGAAGTGGTGAGGGGCGCTCGGGGCTGTTTCCTAGCGCGGGGGTCGCTGTAACTTACTTTGCCTAGCGGGTGGCTAGGTACCTGTACTACCACCCTTCACTGACGGCATCCGCCGGCAGCAGAGAGACAGCCCAGACCAATCTCAGGCTCTTCAGAGGCAGGAGCGATGCCGGCGAGAGGTGCAATTCCTTCTTGTTCTTCGTGAGATTGTTTCAAGATGAAGCCTCTGCATCCAGGATTTCCTCATAGCCGAGACTGAACATCATCAACAATGCAACGTCAAATTCACACACCCAAGCAGAGCATGATCGTGCTCCAGTGTGCCAATTTCCATGCCACCACCAACCTCCATCCCGGTGGATAGACAACCCACACAGGACCACCGTCTTTTTGTTCCCTTGTCCCGTGATTGAGCGTACCTGTTCCCATCCAACTTGACCTGGACTGACACGCCATACGACGTCGTGTTTCTTACTGCAAATGGGACCCAGGATGCAATTGTCAATCGTCCAGGCTATCGACACGTACTCCTCTCTCGGCAGTCCCCGGACAGTCCCTAACTATCCGGCACTGCGCATTGTGCAGCACAAACATCTTCTCGCCCACCGAATGCTTGCCTTCCCTCTTCTCCTCTTCCATCGCAGCCTATCATTCGCTAGACGAACGTATACGTAATGGCTGTGGGTTCTGCAAAGCCCTCGAGCCTTCAGGCCTCTGCATTCCAAATAGACAAGACGATGGCGTGCGCCATGGCGCGATGGAGTGCCGACTAAACTCCGACTTTCCACCAGACAAGCCTCTGGCTACCGGCTCAGATGCTAGCCAGCCTGAGTAGTCGGTCAGGCCTCTCACCGTGCCAAGCCGGTCCGTAACGGCTGTCAAAAAAATGGAAAGGCGAAACAAGCCGAGAAGAGATGAGATAAAACAAAGCTTAAAAGGATAGCTACCCATCTTGCCATCCTGCTGCTTCGCTGGAACAGTCATCCCGGGGTGGTTGCAGTGGAGTCATAGTGCCACGGTGTATCTTGCCGCTTGACTCATTCAGCGAGCTCGCTCCCGATGATCAAATAACTGAGCCCAACGTTGGGTGCTGCAGAACTAGCTTTTTGATCTATAACTATCTCCTTGGCCAAGTGGAAGCAATAGATATCAACAGGCTTCTAATCACCTTCTGGTAATCATCACCAACGAGTCCACCAAACCAATCAGACTAGTCTTCAGCTAGTTTACCCCGGTCGGTCCGGTTTTATGTTGTATTTGCCTGTTCTTAGCCTGGAGTCGACACTCGCTTCATTTACTAGCCACGGCCCGAACAGGAGAACGAACCATTTGGCCCCCAAACCAGCAGCATGACCTCGCAAGCATACCGTCTTCGCCCAGGCCGCAAATCAGAGGCGTCCGGGATTTGTACGGATCTATTTCTTGACACAATTGGGCGTGATGCTCTAATAGATATCCTCTTCCCCACCCGGCACAAGTTTCCCGTCGAGAATGCTACGGACATCCGCCGCCTCTTCTACAGGCGAACCTGGGAACCACACTTCATCTTCACTGTCTGTGTTGACAGCGCCGACAAGCCTGTTGGGTTTTCGTTCTGGAAACGCCCCTTGAGTAGCCTGACCTTTTACGAGCGCTGGATATCGCCGTGTAAGTCCACCACCCCGGTCTCGCCACAACGAGGTGTACGAGGAAACTAATTGAGGGGCCAAACCCGACAAGATAACTGGTTCGGGTCTCTCGTCCGAGCCTTTCTGTCCCTTCGGGACTGGCTGTTCCCACTACGCAATCTTGATAAAAAGGCTGCGAGCACATTCGTGCGCGTGTACGAACAAGTGACCCCTCAGTACCTGAACACTGATCGGAGGAAGAATGCGCACTACCTGAGCACCCTGGTCGTCGAGCCCAAGCTCCAAGGGTCTGGGCTTGGAACCGTCCTGCTCGAGGATGGTCTGCGTAAGGTTGAGGAGCAAGACCCGGGTGCCCCATCCTGGCTGGTCGGTGTCAAGGGCGTGGAGGGCTTCTACGGCCGCCAAGGCTTCGTGGAAGTTGGGAGGATGAACGTTGGGGAATTGTCACACTGGGGAGGCGGAGCTATCATGATCAAAGAATAGACGCCAAGACTGGCATGCATACGATGGCTAATTGGACTAGTCAATCATACGAGGCAGCCTTGGCCTACAATCACTATTCATTTGCAGAGTCTCATGGTTATCGTTTATTATTTCGGCACATTAACAAGCCATTCCCCGTGAAGTCTACCGTAGCTTACTATTCTACATGATCTGACCTGTGGTGGTCTCGAAATACTGCACTCAGCTAATCCTAGGAAAAGAAGCAAGGCAAGAATCCTTGCTGAAGCGTAGCCACACACCAACTTTCCCAGTGTAGACACGAGATGGTCCAGGTGAGCCTCAATCCATGGCCAAGAGATGGCCAACTGCTCCTTCGTATATAATGGACCGACATACGAATATCCATGTCCAGACATGCCCAAAGCCAGCCGACTGGCTGCACTCTACGATTCCAAGCAGCGCCGTCGTCGTTATTGTTTTTTTTTTCGAAGTTTCTTTCTTTTTACTCTTTTTTTTTGTGTGTATTTCGGAAATGAAATCAACACTCCATGCATTCGGGCGATCATCTGATGCCAGCTGGAGATGATCATGAAAGGTTCGAAGAAAAGCAGGTGATTTGAACAAAGTTTCTATGCTCTGGTCTGTTCTGTTGCTGTGGTGCCTATGGTCGCCCTATAGAACTGGAAGCAATATGCTAGCTGTATACTAATGTTTCGTGTGTGTGTTTGAACTGGGATTAGAACATGGAGCAGATGAGTCCGTCCAATGTCTGAAGCAGCGTGGAGAGAGGTTCAGAAACCCTCTCTCTCTTGAATATCAAGGTGTGACCTCGATTGATGCAAACAAAATGCAAAGAGCTGATGCTTAACGGACTGACAACAAGGCCAAGGTGTGACTTCAGTGTGGAAGTTCAAGAAGCTAGACAAGAGTCCAAGAGGACAGATCCTCCTGGTTCTCGCCGTTGTCGCCGCCGCCGCTTGATCCAGTTGCGTCGGAATTGGCAGGGACGGTGCTAGATCCAACTGAAGACGGATCGCGACTGGGTGGCATTGGAGCATTGCCAATTCGGCTGAGACCGGCTTGGCTGGGCCAGCTCGAGATTGCACGGCCTTGGTGGCTCACCTGGGTCGCTTCTCTGGCACGGAAAGGCAGCTCAAAGTAGTTCCCATGAGAGCCTCTATAGCTTCGGTCGTCATGGAACGAAGGGAGGGCAGGCATCTGCGGCGCTGAATGAGATGCCAGAGAATAAGGGCCAGGCCCAGCACTACTCTGCTGATTGTACTCCAAGGCATCGGCCGGGCGGAAACCACCCGAGGCCAGCTGGGGATGGTGCGGCTCGGACCGATCTGCTGCCATAGGAGTAGGTAGATACAAACCTGTGTTTACAGGTTCATGATGGAGGTTCTCTCTCCCTTGTACGCCAGTGGTCTGGCGAAAGAACATGCTTGGAGCTTCTGGGCACTAGCCGTCGCTTTGAGAATGTTGAGATGAACCTCCATAATTGTTGAGATGAGTTGGCGTAGCTCCTTCGCCTGCAAAACCATATGGGCTGTGCCTCTGGGGATCGTTGAAGGACATGGGTGGACGTGCAGGCTGGCCAAGGGTGCTTTGCTGACTTGAAGAGGTGTAAGGACTGGGAGACTCGAATTCCCGTCTGGGAGGGCCAGATGGAACATACGGCCCTGCAGGCTGACCATAGAGAGAAGGCCTCTGCTCAGAGAAAGATCCTCCCCTCGGCTCGGAAGGGTGGGGGCTGCGATGGCGAGGCTGGATCGGCAACGGCCTATTCGTGGCACCAAACCGACTGCTAGCAGTGACATATGAGGACTGCGATGGAAGGATAAAGCTAGTATTCGTCTGGAGACTCATAGAAGGCTCAGTCTCGCGCTCTCCGGAGAATGTTCTGGCCCTCTTGTAGCCTGATGTGCTCCCTTCATTGCGTTCGATGCTCAGATCGCCTGATTCCGAAGCCTTTCTTTTGGCCTGGTTTCGAGCTCGAGCCGTAGCACCCGGGGCGGTTCTGTTGCCGCCAACAATGTTGGGGAGGAACTCGACCTCAGGCAGGTCATCGATCCGCCCAGCCTCAAGCTCATCTCGAAAGCGATTGATCAATTCGAAGACTTGGTCGGAGGTCTTCCCAACACCCAAGTTGTTGATAACCCATCTAGGGATATCCGCGACGGTATCGGTGTCATCCAACTCCGCTCCACTACCAGGCGTACCCTGCGCCATGAGAGCCTCGTCGACACGCTCCTGCTCTCTCTTGCGAAGGGCAAAGGTCCAGTCTTTGAGATAGGTCGTTCTTCCCTTGGCGATGTTCTTCTGGCTCCAATTCTGGATCCTTGTGGCCTGCTCCCGGACAAGTTTGATCTGGGTCTTGGCATACAGCCCTCCGTTGCGGTATCTGGTCCGTTGGTAGTGCTTCCGGCAGAAGAAGACCCAGACATGGTTGGGAATCAGCAACGTGCAGGCTTTGTTTCTGCCAAAGAAGTGAGAGATGGCCTTTCTGGGGCCGGCTCCGGTCTTGCAACCGGGAGTACAGTGACAGAGCCAGGAGCCATCTTCTGAATCGTCCTCACTGGCATGCGAACTGTTCTCGTGGAGAGACTGTGGCTTCTGAGGCTGGTTTGGATCCGGATGAGTCATGGTTGAGAAGCCTTCGACTGATGGCGACGTTGACACTGGGGAAGGGGCATATGGAGTCATGGCTGTCGAACTGGGGTATCTCTCTTCGCTCCTTTCTTCTCTCAGAGCAGTTAGTGATCCAGGGGCACGCCTGTAGTCACCCATCGCGGAGAATGACGGCTGCCTATGGTGATTGGAGGGCGTGACAGGCGCAGGAGCCGAAACTGCTCGCTTGTGGAAGCTAAATGGCGGCCAGGGGCGAGTTCCAATGGGTTGAGTTGAGCCGCTGCAGTATGCCGATCAGTCCTCAATGATCCAAGAGAAGCTAAAGAAAAGGGTGGAATAAAGAGGGTGGGCTTCTTGAGGCTGGTGCTCAAGCAGAAAAGGGTAAACGACAATGGAGAAAACCCAAGGCTTTATAGTCCGCGCGCAGCACTGGAAATGCGCAGAGCCAGAGGTCAGGCAGCAACTTGCTGGTGAATGTGCATGATGGATGAATGAGAGCCATTGTGGCTCATGGCCCAAAAGAAAGGGTTGCTCGTGAGCGGCAGTGAATCATGGTCAAAATATCGTGATCGATAAGGTCACCGCTCTCGGCGGGACAATAAGGAGCCAATAATAGCCATTACAGCAATTGACAATAATGCTCGGGGGAGAAGGAGGGGATTTTGAGCGGGTGAGAAGGCGATTGCAAGCGAATAACAAAGCAGCCCAAGACGCTGATTCACTCTTTCTAGCCAGAGGGCAGCAGTAAGAGGCACAACAAAATAACAAAATGGAAGCATCCTCGTGACGTACCTAAAGTGCGGTGAAGTGCTCGCTGGATCGATCTCAAGCCTCCTCGGAGCTGGAATCGCTTCTGACTGTCTCCGTGAGTGAAGAGATCTGCCTTGCCGATTTCCCTGACTGAACGGCACCGCTCTGGATGCACCTGAAGGAAAACTTGGGTCGGTTGCCGAGCGACGTGCTGGGATAAATATCGGTGAATTTTCCTGCACCGTCGCAAGTTTTGTGTCTACCGCCGGCCTGAGCTCGATCGGAAACGTGCTGGGCAATTTGACATCACCAATCGTCGTAGCCGAAGACGACCTTGTATGCGATCCAGAGTATGATGATGATACGTAGGACTGGGTGCTTCCTTGGCTATGCGAGTATCGATGCGAAATGCTCCGCCAGTCGGTTGGAGAAGGGTTCGGGCTGCTATCCTCCCTCCCGATAGATCGGGTCGACAGATTTGCCAGAGCCTTAAAGGCAGATAGTCTTGCGCCATCCGTAGAGTGCGCGGGATCGTTTGCCAACGGACTGGAGATCGCATAATTACGCGAATCTAGTGAGGTTAGGTCATGTCCAGAGGGCATGGGTGGGAGGGAGATGGAAGTTCGCGCAACATTTCGCATAGTGTTGCCGGGATAGCCATCTCCCTGTCCCTGGCTGCTGGCTCCAAATGCCGAATCTAGAGGAGGTATCGGTGATGAATGACTATACTGATCACTTTCCCTTGTGTGTGTCTGTGCAGGACGCACAGAGTCATCTTGCTTTCCTCCTTCGCTGTTTTGGCCTGACCTATTAAGAAGTGACCCGATATCCATCACGGCAACAGGCAACGTGAGGCTTCTATTGTCCCAGAATATTGCGACGGCAACTCAGCGCGCAACCGAATCTTCTTTCGACAGGAAAGTCCCCATGACACCTCCAGCATGGGAGTATCAATCGGTTGCTCGCTACTACGCAACTAGCTTCTGCAGCGAAATCAGATTTTCGTATCCCCGCCGTCGAGCAGAAGGTGCGGAGGATAAGTTTCGGACTGATCAGTGAGACAATGTACCTGTTTCTATGAATCACTCGAGACCGAAGAATGTCTCCCTGCTTTGGCTGGCACTATCTTGATCTTGGTGGAATTCCCCTGTCGTCGAAAAGGATATGGATAGCTGTGTCGCAAGTAGCGCGGGACTCTCATACGCCGTAGCGAAATCGTAAGGGCCGAGTATCTTGACAATGAACTTGAAAGAAAGACTGCTTCGCATAACTAATAGCTAAGTCCTTTACAAACAAAGGAGGCAAAGGCTGCTGGACTAGGACGGCGAGAAGATGCGAGAATCAAAATGAAAACATAATCCGGGCTTAGTACATGGGAGAGAGGTCTTATGGGAGCAATGCATGAAAGAGGATACTGAAGTCTTCAGCCACAGTAGCCCCGGGCGTAAAGGGGATGCAGTCAAAGCTCAAGTCATGTCAAGGGCCTCATGAGTGTGGAATTCTGCGACTGGTTGACATGAAAATGCCGGGCCAAATAGCGATCAGGATAGTGGCCAGGACATGTAGCAAGCACAGCAGCACCTTGTATGTGTGCACAATAGCTAAAACATGGGGGTGTCCATCGGCGTCCAGCATGATCACTCTGCTAACCAAGCTCCTATTCTGAACCCAGACCGTGCTGTTGCAGGGGAATGGAGACATTGCGCATGACGGGTCGACAAGTCGATGTTTGTTGGCGGCCTGCGCCTGGTGTCTGTCGGGCATCAGCCGATGAGGGTTCCGACTGGTCAAGCCATCCAAGGTGACCCCAGTAATGTTAGGTATCCTGCTTTGAATTTACATGTCCCACAATGGGGTTCCATGTCGTATTACTGCTCGGCATTTGGGGGCGAGGTGACAAGGGGCATCCTTGCCACACACGAGACTATCCCCGTTAGTATGAGGTGGTATTTCTCTCGATCACGACGTCTCACAATCGTCTGAAGTGTCCTCTCCATGGGAAATTGCCCGAGAAAGCATATGGAGACTTCCTAGGGGCCTTTGGAGTCGTACATGGCACAGAGGGAGAGCGAGGCAAGGAGCTGCAGGCCTTGGCCCCGGATGAATGGATCAAAGGACAAGACTGTCTTCGACGCACAAGCTTCTTTCTGACTCTGGGGATTACATTATGGCCCGTATGCTGTTGGTCGGCATGCTGGGACCCTCACAAAGATGTGAAACTATGGCCAGAGGGCTCCTTAGTGTAACGAGGGAAGACCACGTATGGCTAGCCAGAAGGTTCTAGAGCCCCAGATGTCCTACCGACCAAATGGAAATGCAGATCGATAGAGCCGAAGCTTGGAAACGTCCGGTGTATGTTGGTCCTCATGGGAAAACACGGGATGATACTCAGACGAGGCTAGCAGCAATTACGATTCGTCACATTTCAGACAATTATCAGCTGTCAAAGGGACAGCAGAATGAAGGACATGATAATAGTAGAGAGCTTGAGAAGCACAATGGCGGGTACGCCGGGCGTGTGTGGCTCATGCCCGTCATTGCCTGGCTGCATGAATTGCTTGATACGTATTGCTCCGTAGGAGTTCCCAGTACGGATATGCTGCATCAGTGCAGCTCGGTTAGTCATGGTACCCACAGACATCTATGTACACTACGGGTGCCATGGGTCTGAGAGCTTTCCTCGGACAATTTAGCAACAGTTGGTCAAGGTTTGGTAACGCGTGAAGCAAGGTTCCGGATAAAAAGGGTCGAAAAGCAACGTCCCGAAGCCGCGTCGTAGATGCAGTCGTAAAGGTTCTAGCTTCCCAACTAGGTTGCACCAAGAAGTGTTATCCGGTGTTTCACGACGTAGCACCACGCTCCGCCGGTAGCATTGCTCAGCACGTAGGTCCAGAAGGAGAAAATATGTGGTTAGATCAACAGCCAAGGCCCGTGGTGAGATGATTGTGCGTTCGTTAGCTCAACCGGCAGTCAACCGGCACACTCCCATCTTGTCTAATTCACCGTTTTTTTTCTTCATTGTAGGCGAGGGTCACGGGTTACTGGTTGATCACAAAAAATCAAGCAGAAGAAAGAGACTGATGCAACAAGCAAGCGCCAAGGCAAGGCTCAGCTGAAAAGTTGGAGAATCAAGATGATTGAAACAAGACAGGCAGCACTTGGTAACTGCGACAGCTTCGGTTTGCCAAATGCTTCATGCAAAAGCCCAATCCGATGCGATGATACCGTGATTCGTACAAGAAAGTCATGCGATCTAAGGTGCTTGGGTGTGTAGTGGGTATGTGACTCCGCGGACCCTAATGCAAGCTGGGAGGGGCCTTGTTTCAGCTGATCGGGCTCAGGAGAGGCCATACCCAGCCCGGGTATGATGCGATGCACGTTAATGGAGTCAATGGTCGACGCATGAGGACGGTTTTGTTTTCTTTTCTCTCTCTGCTCGAGCGCGTCTCTGCCGTAAGGACCTATACCTCTTCTATGCTGAATACGCGAAATTAGAAGCACGCGCGCTGTAAGGTCGCATTGTCGGCTTCCGCAGCGCACGGGTTCGACTGCAGTAATGGTAGGTTGCACCTTGAGAGGCCCGAAGTAGGCATGATGTGCCTAGTCAGGGCACCAGCGCAATTGGAGGTGGTGTGGCATTGGTGTCCGCTGTGACTGGAAGCTCAGTCCAGCCTTTAGACGGGCAAAATGCGAAACAGCTCAGGCGGATCTTGGCCTGGCACGATGCTGGTTGGAGGAACTGGCCAGCAAAATCAAGAATTTGACAGCCAGGGTGGTCGAAGCATTGCAGTGGTCCCTGCTCGCTTTGTACGAACTTCCGGGGCTAAAGCAAGACGATAGAAAGAGACGAGTAGCTCAAGGCATGCTAGCAGCCCTGCAAGGATGGGATGGGATGGGATGGATGGGATGGGGCAGGATGGGATGAGATGGAGGAGAACAGATGGGCCAGAGGAAGGGCCAAGATAGGGGTGAAGGCACTGCCGGCGGTTCGTTTGTACGGGAGTAGACGGGGCAGGCAGGGAGAGTTTCGCATTGATAGAGCATGGACTGGAACTGGAGCTGGAGCTGTAGCATGGAGAAGCACGGAGGACTCCATATGTGACAATAGTACCGTGCTTCCAGCAGGCTCCGGGGCTTCTTGCTCCCAGTCTTTAGCCTGAAGGGGCACCTATCGAAGGCGTCTAGGGCGAGAACGGACTCGGAGCGCGCTGTGCGACCATACTCTGGCCCGTGCTGCTTGCCCAAGGTCCCTCCAGCACCGGCCAATGTGTGAGGTACAGCAGATACGACGTTCCGTTGCGGCGGGGAATCTCTCCGAGCAGCCT